ATTAGCATGTACAGCACTTTGTGAACTCTGGTTTTATGTTAAAGTGCTTTATAAATAAAGGTGGTATGGTATGGTATTTCCTTTTGATTTTGTTTGAAAAGAATGCATATAGATTCAGATATGTGTCTGAGATTCTCTTTGCTACATGTCAGCGATACTCATGAACATGTTGCAGAATAAGCAATATTAAGGGTTTTTTTCCCATTCTGTAATCTCCATAATGAATGATTGGTATGAAAACTAAACAGCACTCCAAAGATCTGAATAAACATTATAGATTCACTTTAGGAAAAGTCTGCATCTTTCCAGAAGTCATTACTGGGGAACTCATTATTTGTTCAGTGTTGTATGATAACCAAATTGACTTTGTTACGCCTCCTGGGTATGATAGTTTTAGACATTTTTTAAATGTAACTGATGTTTTTTATGGATTACACATAATGAATGTGCATCTTATGGGTTTAACTCCAAGTATCTCAAATATTACATCTAGTCTGTGGTTTTTCACAAAGTTCTTGTATTACAGTCCTATTTGTATGTATGCAGAGGACAGCTAATCTTATTACAATTTTAAATTCAATATTTTTTCTTGCATCTCAAATATTGAAGCATTTATTTTATCAATGTATATTTGAGAATATGAGTTCCCTTTATTTATGTCAAAACTATATTTGTTTCCCAAATGTCAAAAACACTGATGAGCATCAATGAAAAAAAAAAGATTGGACTGTTTCACTCAGTATCTTTATTAGCTGCTTTTCCATAAGTGCAATCCAACTCTTTACACCCTCCACAGTAGCAGCAGCTATGACAGGATGTTTTTCATGAGGATGTCACTTACCATATGGAATGACTGTGGCAAAAATCCAAGGCAGACATGATTTGTCTGAAAAATTTCCTGGCCTCTTTAGGTGTTAACCTGCCTTTCTTCACCAAGTAGTCGAACAGTTCACCACCAGACACGTGTTCTAGCACGAGGTACCTGAGAAACAGAGAGGTGACAAAGAAATAAGAACGAAATCAAGAGAGTACATGAGGAAAAACTCTCATACATGCACCCAGAAAGAAAAGAAATACCTGCCAGAACAAATACCTGCCCTCTCTACAAAGCCCTAAAGAAAAGAAAAACCTTGGACCTCTAAGGTTTCTGAGAAATGGAGCAATGGCAGGATGATAGTTCCCTCGAAGCACATAGATTAAAGACTAACAAGCTTTCAAATCTATATCTTTGAAAAA